CCTTCGGCCGCTCTCGTTCTTCTCTGCCTGAGCGGTGCCACCCCGGCCTTCCGCCCCTCACGCCCGCGCCTCGCTGGCCCACATGTCTCGGCGCTTACTCATCCTTGCACCGCGCCTTGGTCCACTGCGTCGGGCACCGCCCCCATGGCTGCCTTGCCACTGCTACTGTTCTGTGCCGCTCGGCACCTGATTCAGCCGCATCCAGCTCTGTGCCGTCCTGCACCCGACCCTTGTGCCCGCGGCGCAGTGCCTGCAGCTGGAGCTGGTCCGTCCTGGCCTTCCCCATATCCTCGCACGCGCCTCGCAGGCCCGCCAGTCTCGGCGCATTGGCTCATCCCTGGACTGTGCTCGGTCCACCGGGTTGGGCTCCTCCTCGTTTTCTCTCCATTACCTGCTGTCGCTCCTGGCTGCCCCCCCAGCAGTCCAGTACAGCCTGTGCCGACGCTACTCCCCCCCCTGGCGCTCCCCCGTCGCAGCCGGCAGCTCTGGGTGGCCCGGTTTCTTCTCTCCCTGTCGCGCCGGGGCTCCTCCTCCTCCTTCCGTACATTGCGGCCCTAATTTGCATACTGCGTGTCCCCTGTTGCTTATCCGCCGGAGCAGTCGCCCTCTGCCCAGCCGGGGACGCAAAAATGTGCAAGTTACGAGTCGCACGAAATTCAAGGTGCATGACTGTGTGAATAGGGTCTGTGGTGCAAGCCCCACCCGTGGGTACACTCGAGTCAGTCGGGTTGTTTAGGCTGTCGCTGGTGGAGAGAGTATGCAGACGCCGGAATCAAACAGCCCGCATTCATGGGCGATTGTCTCGATCACGTTGCCGCAGCCAGTTGAAGCGCTGGATCCAGGGCGAGAGCTGGCAACGACATCCAGCCCCAAGCTTGCAGACTTGATTCGTGTAGCGAGAGGAGGAGTGGGAAGTGGAGGAGGACGTGAAAGTAGATGTGGACATGGAGGTGGAGACACCGAATCATGTGGACGGGGTGCACGGTGCGAGTAGGCGAGGCAAAGCGGGACACCACAAGGCGGTCGGGGTGTTGGCTGTTCGCAATCGTTCGAGTGCTCATCGAGTTGCAGACATAGTTGACGAAGTGCGCCGCGCCATCCTCCTCCAGGTTACCATTATCCTCCTCCGCTTCCTCCTCCTCCTTCTCGCGCGTAGCAGGAGAAATCCTAGCGGACGAGATCTGATTGTCTGTCTTTCAAGGGTATCGACGGGTGTACGGTTTCATTGCCAACTATCATTGTTGTGTTTGTTGTTTGTGTTGCTCTTGTTGTTGTTGATGGTGATGGTGTTGTCGTTACTGTTGATGTCGTTGGTGGTGTTGGTGCTGATGCTGGTGGTGTTGTTGGTGTTGTTGGTGGTATTGGTGATTGTGTTGTTGTTGATGTTGTTGTCCTCGACGTCGTCGTTGCTGTTATGTTGTTGTTGATGTTGTTGTTTGGGCTGTTGTTGTTGCTGATGTTGCTGTTGTTGTTGTTGTTGCTGTTGCTGTTGCTGTTGCTGTTGTTGTTGTTGTTGAACATTATTTCTTCTTAAGAATAATTATTGTTGGGGCCCCTGGTGCACGACCCCCCCGCCGCGCCTAGGCCGCAGCCACATTTTCATCATTTTCGTGAGGAAGTCTCAGGCAAAACGATTGGTACCGGATCCGGTTGTTTTGTTGACGCTCGTTTTCCCTTGCAAAAAACATCATAAAATGAAAATTCTTGTTCTTACTTGATCAAATTGCAAGAATCCCTTGCAAAAAATAAGGTAAAGTGGACATTCGTGCGCGCAAGACGAAATCCTTCCAAAACCTTAGGTTTCGTAGCGATTTTAACATAAAAACATCAAAAACCCAATGGTTTTTTAAGAAAAAATTGTCAACATGTCCTTCCGCGCGCGCTGTCCGAATCCTACAAAACCAATGGTTTTTCAACATTTATGTTACATGAGCTCGCGCGAGCTACTTTTTCTTGTTCTAACATAATCAAATTTCAATAATCCCTTGCAAAAAATAAGGTAAAGTGGACATTCGCGCGCGCAAGACGAAATCCTTCCAGAACCTTAGGTTTCGTAACGATTTCAACATAAAAACATCAAAAAGCCAATGGTTTTTCAAAAAAAAATGTCCAAATTTCATCCCGCGCGCGCTGTCCGACTCCCACAAAACCAATGGTTTTTCAACATTTATGTTACATAAGCTCGCGCGAGCTACTTTTTCTTGTTCTTACATAATCAAATTTCAACATCCCTTGCAAAAAAAAGTAAAGTGGACATTCGCGCGCGCAAGACCAACAAAAAACACGACGATCTCAGGAACTTGCCCCAAAAATGTGACCAACTCCGCTCTCTCTGTCTCTCTCTCTGTCTGCTCTCTGTCTCTCTCTCTGTCTGTCTGTGTCATGTATTGTATGTCACAATTGCAGGATGCTGGGCACACGCGCGCCCCGAATAAGTGACCAAGTTCTGTGGGTGTGTACCCCACGCCAGTGTAGTAGCCACGGTCGTCCGCACGCCACGAAGTGAAGTGTCCCAACGTCATAGGGCGGGAAGCTGGGTTTGGGTGGTCGCGAAGAGTCGTTTGGATATTTGGTAGAGCTTGAACTGCCCCCCCACGAAGTGGGGGTATTGTCTCGCGTCGCATGAAAACCCTGGCACTGGTGAGAACACTGAGCGTTCGGGTAAAATGATTGTTGTTGTTGTTGTTGTTGTTGTTATTGATGGTGTGGTTGCTGTCGTCGTTGTTGCTGTTGTTTCGTTGTTGGTGTACCCTGCTTGGGACCTCGGGCAACGATAATTTTTAAGCGCCCCCTATCAAAGCCTCGTCGAACATCGCCTCCACAGCGTGATGGTGCCGCTCCCACGTGCTGGTCTTCGGAGCTGTACGCAAGGTGGCTTCGTTGATACCGCGGGAGCGTTGGAACAGACATCGTGGGTGGGGGTGGGTGAGGGACCCTGGTTCTGCAGGGACCCAAGGAGCCCTGCAAGCTCCCAAGGTGGTCAAGGAGCTCCAGGTCTCCTGGGACGCTGGTGGTCCAGACTCGAGAGAACGCCTGGCTCAGCAGATGCAGTGTGTGCTGTCGAGCCAACTTTGTTGAGACGCTCGGCCGCTGGAGCCACGCGTCTGCCTCCGCCCTCCTCTCGGAGATGGCCAGCGTGCTCGCGCCCTCCCGGCGCGACCAGCGCTGGCCCCGCGCCCCAGCCTCGCGCGTTGCGTAATCCGAGCATTTTCTTCTGGGCGGAGGGCAAAGGGCGAAGTCTGAAAGGCCGTTTCGATTGCTTTTCGAGGTTCGAATCTGCAAAAACTAAACACAAGACGGGTTGATTTCCGAGGTGCAAAAGCCCATATGGATTTCACCCTGAGCCCTCCGCCCTAAGAAAATGCTCCGGTAATGGGGGGGCGATAACTGAGGGGTGGACGGTGGAGACGGGTTCCCCTCGGGGCCCCAGTGGGGCCCCCTGGGGCCCAAAAGGGGCACGAAAGGTGCACGCTTATGATCTTCGCCCCCTGTGAAGCAGCGCCCAGCAGCAGCTGGGGCGGCTGCAGCGCTCGCTGGGCGCCGCGCAGGAAGCGGCCGGGCACGGCGGCCACCGCGCGGCGCGCCGCGGGGCGCTGCCGCAGCCAGCCCGCCTCCGGCCCGCGCCGCGGCTCGGGCAACTCCTGGCCCCCCGCCTGCAGGTGGACTCAAGTCGGGCACGTCCCTGTAAAAGGAGGAGTATTCAAAAGTAGTCAAAAAATAATAGGGGGACGATTTTTTGACCATCATTGACTGTCTTTGCATATTTTTGGAATATGTTTGATCATTCCTCCTAAATCCGCCTGTGTGAGGACATGACCTAATCCTGGCCCCCCGCCTGCAGGTGGACCGATCACCCCCTGTGGGCCTCCCGCCGCTCCTGGCTCCTGGCCGAGGTCGGCGATGGGCCCCGCCGCCGACCTCAGGAGGCGCTCCCCGCGCACGCGCAGGACGGCACCGGCGCACCCGCTCGCTCGCTGCGCACCGCCCTCGGGCGGCGGCGTCGCCAGCGCCAGGAGCTGACGTTGGCCCGCGCCATGGCCCACGCCTCCCGCGCTGGGCAGAGGGCGGCTGGTCGGGGGCGCAGGGTGGTGGCCATCGCGTCCGGCGCTGGCCTGCTGTCGTCGTGGTGGTGCCGGAGGGGGGAGGTCGTCGAGGAGAGCAGCCCGCGCCACGGGCGTGCAACGAGGCGGCGTCTCCCGGGGGCGGCCGCTTCCAGGTTTGAGGGGGAGCCCCTTGTGGGTCTGACGCTGGAGTGGATACTGCTGCCCCCCATCGGGCCGCAGTGCCTCGCGCCACGGTGGGACCGAGCGGCTTGAAGACGTCTTTCGTCCGGATCGTTTCGAGTCGAAAGTTTGCCAGCGTGGATCCCGAACAGTGATATCTTGCACCTGAGTGTGGAATTTCCGGGGGTGCACAACGTGTGGTGTAATCTGTGGTGGAGGCTACGTGATGCAATCTGCAATATGTGTGGGTAGCTCTATGCGGCGCAAGCTATGTGGTGCAAGCCAGCTGGTGCATTATCTGACGTGCTCTGTTGCACGCTGCGCGTTACAATCTGTGTTGTGCCCTCGATGTCGTGCAAGCTCTTGGGCGCATTCCGTGCTCTGCAGCACATCTTGCGCAGTTTTGTGGCGCAGTGTGTGTGTGTGTGTGTGCATCCCGAAGCGCCAGCCAGCGCACAGAGGGCAAAGCCTCGGAGCACCTGGCCAGCGCACCGTCGCCAACGAGGCGCCCACGGGCGCCCGCGAGGTGAGCACACGGAGCGCTCAGCCAATTCTGCATTGCGAAGGTAAGGTACCCTCGGTGCAGGCACCGTGTCGGGAGAGATACCAAGAAGCATCCGCGTTGAAGTCGAAGTTTCCATGGTATGCCATTTCTCGGATGCGGCAGAGGACAGATCGTTTCCGCAAGGCGCCAGAGGGGGCGCAGCTGAGGTGCCAGAGGGCAACAGGAGACTTGTTTGAGCGAATGGCGCTCCTACCAACTTCGGACTCCTGGGTATGCGCATGCGTAAGCGCGCCCAGCTTTCGTGTAAGCAAAGTTGCGGCGTGGGCAGGTGCCCAGACGGCGTGATGAACTTACACTGCGGGCTTGGAGCTTCGACCAACGCCGTCTGCATCTTCTGGGCAGAGGCACTCTCTTCTCGCGTGTAGAATGAGCTGGGGGCAGCGCACAAGAAGGAGAAATAGAGATATGGAGATAATACTATTGAGATATGGATAATGGGACAGAAAGAGAGAGAGAGAGAGAGAGAGAGAGAGAGAGAAAAACAAAAGAGAGAGAGAGAGAGAGAGCGAGAAAACAAAAGGAACAGGCAGAGACGATTAGAGAAAGAGAGAAAGAGGTACATATGTTTGCTTATATGTGTATACCTACCTACCTACCTACCTACCTACCTACCTACCTACCTACATCCATATATACATGCATGCGTACATACATACATACATACATACACCTATATACATAGAGATATATGCATACCTACATACATGCACACATACATGCGCACATACACACAAACACACATCCATACAAACGTACATACATACATATATTCATGCATACACACATACATACATACATACATGCATACATACATATATACATTCATACATACATAAATACATACACACATATATACATACATACATACGTACACATATACATACATACATACATACATACATACATACATACATACATGCATACATGCATGCATGCATGCATGCATACATACATACATACATACATACATACATACATACATACATACATGCACACACATACATACACACATACATACACACATACATACATACACACATACATACATACACACATGCAGGCATGCATGCATGCATGCATACATACATACATACATAGATAGATACACGTGTGCATATATACATATATCAGGGTGAAGGGGCCGAACGGCCATTCATTGTCCCTGGGTGGGTGGCCAGATATGGAATTCGTCGTGGCAATTATGTTTGTTGCGTTGTTGTTGTTGTTGTTGTTGCTGTTTTTGTTGTTGTTTTTGTGGTCGTCGTCCCACCCGCGACCCACCCGCGATCCACCCCGCGACCCACCCCGCGACCCACCCCGCGACCCACCCCGCGACCCACCCCGCGACCCACCCCGCGACCCAACCCGCGACCCACCCGCGACCCACCCCGCGACTCATCCTCGACCCACCCGCGACCCACCCGCGACCCACCCCGCGACCCAACCGCGGCCCACCCCGCGACCCACCATCAGAGGAGGAAAAAACACCCGGACCCGATAATCGACGTTTACTAAACCGCCCTGGGCGTTTACTAAACAGCCCTGCCCTGTTCGATTAATTTTTTTGTGTGCGTTTACTAAACGGCTTCGCTTGTCGGGGTGATGATGGTGGGGTGGATTTTCTGCCCTCTACACCCGCGACCCACCCGCGACCCACCAGCGACCAAACAGCGACCAAACAGCGACCCACCCGCCATCCACCCGCGACCCACCCGCGACTCATTTGCGACCCACCCGCGACCCTTCCGCGACCTACCCACATCGGCGCCTGCGGCGGGCTCGTTGTACAATTAGTGAAACTTTGGCGCCTGCGGTGGGCTTCTCCAAAGTCTTGCAAACCGCCGACGTCCCCACCGCTCCCTCACTCTTATCCACATCTGCGGGGTGCTACGTATATATCCGTGCGCGAGGCCCGGGCGCTCGGGGCCCGGCGCTCGACGGACGGCGCATGGGGGTGCCAGGGGGCCCGGCCCCAGAAGGCTGCCAGAAGTCGCCCTGGGGAGGCGGAAACGTCGCTCCGAGATGCCGCGAGCCATCCTCGCCTCACTCCGCTCTCCTCCGAAGCCCTCCACCAGCTGCTCCCCATGGCTTCGTGCGCGTGCTCGAACCTTCCACTCACTGTCGCAGGCGAGGGATCGCCCGTGCACGCTCTGAGGCACTTTATCGTGGAAGGCTGGATCTCCATCTCGGAGGCGACGATAGGGGCGAATAGCCCAGCGGGAAGCATACATGTATCCAGGGGTGCCGATGATCTATGTCTGCGACGAGGCTCCCGGACGAATGCCTGCAATGCCCGTCCCTGGGCCTACCGTCGCCGCCGACATCCCGGGGAGGCCCGCGGCAACCCCAAGGCGCGCCAAGACGGCTTCCTAACGGCCTGGAGCGCCCCCAGGACGCTCCAAGACGGCTTCAAGAGGCGCCCCGAGCGCGAGGCAAGCATCATTGTTTTTCTTTGTGTGTTTCTATGTTTTTTGCAGTTCTCGCCTTGCCGGACTTCGAATGCCAGACGGCCCAAGGAACCCCGACGAGCGACCCAAAATGGCCCGAGAGGCGCCCAAGACGTCCCCCAGAGGGCTCCAAGACAGCCCAAGGCGGCTGTTACACAGCTCAAGAGGCGCTGGAAAGGGCTCCAAGACGGCCAATTCGAACATTCCACCCCGAGAGGCCCCCAGAAGGTCCCAAGAGGCCTCCAAGAGGCCTCCAAGACGCCCTCAAGATGATCCCAAACTGGCCCCAACAGGCCCCCAAGAGGCTTCATCAAAACTGCCTCCTCGAGGCCACCCAAAAAGACATTCCCCAGAGGTCTCCGGGAGGCTGCGACCCACCGCGCCAGAAGCTCCGGAAAAGGCCCAAGGAGTTTCCCGCGAGACATCCAGTCACCCCGAGGCGTCCCCCCAACTAAATCCCTGGAAGGCTTTCCACAGTCGGGGAACGACCCCGAAGCCCGACGACGACGACGACGACGACGCCAACGACGACGACGACGACGAGGACAGCGGCGGCGACGACGACAACGACAGCGGCGGCGAAGGCGGTGACGACGACGGCGGCGGCGACGACGACAACGGCGGTGACGACGACGGCGACGAAGGCGGCGGCGGCGACGACGACGGCGGCGGCGGCGGCGACGACGGAGGGCGACGGCGACGTCGGCGGCGACCACGATGAATAAGTGGAGGGGTTGGTGGGAGGAGCGGGGAATATTCTTGCCTGTGCGGGCGGTGGGCCCCGCAGCCATCGGTGCGACACTGTTGCCGGGGGTCTGTGCTACCAGGTCGCCACAGACTTGCAGGCCCCCTCGACGTCCCCAAGCAACTCCGATGAGGCCCCATCCGGGAACGTCCAGGCGGGGGCGCAGGAGGAGGGAGGAAACAGTGGAGGCTGCCTGGAGGAGGATCAGGACGAGGAGGAGGAGGAGGAGGAGGAGGAGGAGGACTGACGAACCAGTTCCTGTACTTGGCTCGCCAAAGCCATGGTGAACTCAAGAGCCATGTCTTGGCCAGGCATCTCCAGGCCGCGCTTTGTCCTCCATTCGATCTTCTCTTGGTGAGCGCCCCAAAGTATTGAGAGAGAGAAGAGGGGGATGATCATCGAGAGGGGTACACGGGGGAAACGCTCTGCACAGCCTTGGTCTGCATAGTGCGTTTCCTTGGTGCAGCTAGTCGACACGACTGCGAGGAGTCATGAACAATGGGGTGGGTAGGATGCGTAGGAGTGGGCTGATGACTCGAAAATACATGTCGAGGCATATGTGACTGCAGCGCGTATTCGCTGCAATCTTTGCCTGACTTCTGTATCCTGTCCAGTTTGCTCGGGGCGGATCCGCTGATTGGAGCAGGGGCGCGCTCCTCACCCGAGTCCAAAGTCAGCCGATGGTCCCCAGCATGGCAGGCGCATTCGGGGGAGGAGAAGGGGGATCCGCCAGCAAAGCATCTGGCCGAGCCTCGTCGCCTCTTCCTCCCGGTTTCTCTGCCTCCTCCGCTTGTTCCTCCTTGCCCTCTCCGCCTCCTCCCTCGTCCGCCCTTCTCGTCCTCCTCCGCGGCCTCATCCGTGCCTTCCCTCGCCTCAGATCCCTCGGCCTCCTCGCCGGCCTTCACTTCCTCTGCATCGCCCGCCTCGCCATCCGCCTCCCTCGCCTCATCACCACATTCCTTTCCCCTTTCGCACTCGCCTCGGTGTTCGTCCTTGTCCTCCCCCTCCACTCCTTCCCTCATTCCTCCTCCCTACCACCTTTCCTCCACCGTCTACGTTTTGTCCTCTATTCTCCTCTCTTCTCCTCTCGAAAAGTTACCTCCCTCCTCCCGCCTCCCTCTTCTTCTTGTCCCTTCTGCTCTTGCTCCTCCATCGCCTCTACCTCCTCCTCCTCCTCCCCTATCTCCGTTCCCTTCTCCTCCTGCTCCTCCTTCTTCTCCTCCTCCTCCTCCTCTTCCTCCATCTTGCAGCCTCCCACTTGCGGCTCCGCGTCGTCGTACTCATCCTCGACCATCCTCGAGCCGCCTCCCTGCCCAGTGGTGTTCGCGGGGCGGCGTGGCGCGAAGTCTCTGCCGAGGGCGCCTCGCCGGCGCGGCGCCCGATGCCGGCCGCTCCAGCGGCTAGGCGGCTGGGCCGCGGCCTGCGTGGCGCGCTGGCTGGCGCTCTGCCCGCACGGCCGCGGCTGCCGCAGGGGCGGTGGGCGGCGGCCGCCGAGGGCAGGCCGCGGGGGGGGGGGGGGCCGCGTGCCGGGCCGCGCCGCCCAGGCGGGGTCGGAGCAGATGGGGCCGGAAGAGCGCCGATGCGTCGCAGATGCAGCGGCGATGCGGCTCGCTCCCCAGACCCCCCTCGCGAGGTGAGAGCAAATCACAGCGCAAGGCTTTTCGCTATTTTCGGCCTCTGGGGGCCCTCGCCGGGCCTCGGGGCCGTCAGAAAACGACTCCGGATGAGAGGCCGGTCCCGGGGAAGGGGTCCGGTTCTCTCAGGGTCGGGTCACGAGAAAAAATCACGACCTCGGGGGCCTGGGTCCAGAAGCTGACTTGCCCCACCCTGTCGTCGCTGGTATGCAGCGGCGATGCAGTGCGATCCTCCGGCCCCAGCTGCTCCGAGCACACCCGGGTGGCCGTGCAGGGCCGCGCCGTTCTCCACGCTCACGCTGCAGGACCTCCCCACGGCCGTCCTCGACTGCGAGTACGCGGTTCGCGGCGCGGTCTCGAGGAGGGCGGAGGAGCTGGGCGCGGAGCTCGGGAAGCTGGCCGCGGGCGAGCGGGGCCCCGACGAGGAGGGCCTGCTCTTCGACCAGATCGTGCCCTGCAACATTGGGAACCCGCAGGCCGTGGGGCAGCAGCCCCTGGAGTTCCACCGTCAGGTTCTGGCGTGCCTGACCGATCCCACCCTGGCCGACCGGGAGGATCTCTACCCGGCCGACGTGCGGGAACGCGCGCGACGCTATCTGAATGGCATCACCGGCGGCGCCGTGGGCGCGTACTCGCACTCCCAGGGGCACGCCGTGTTCCGCCGGGACGTCGCGGCATTCCTCGCCCAGCGTGACGGCGTAGACACGTCGTTCGAGGATGTCTTCCTGACTGACGGGGCCTCTGCTGCGGTCAAGATGGTGCTCTCACTGCTCATCCGCGGCGGCGAGGACGGGGTGCTGCTGCCCATCCCACAGTACCCGCTGTACAGCGCCTCTCTGTCCCTGCTGGGCGGCCAGTCCGTGGGGTACTTCCTCGACGAGGACGCTGGTTGGGGCGTCAGCGTGCCGGAGCTGGAGCGCGCCGTGAGCGAGTTCCGCGCTGAGGGTGGCGTGCCCCGTGCCATCGTCCTGATAAACCCGGGCAATCCCACCGGCCAGGTCCTGTCCCGGGAGGTGCTGGAGCAGGTGCTCGCGTTTGCTGAGCGGGAGAAGCTGGTAGTGATAGCCGACGAGGTCTATCAAGACAACATTCACGCCGAAGATAAAGAGTTCATTTCTTGCCGGAAGGTGGCCCACGATATCGGATGCACTGTGGAAGTATTCTCGCTCCATTCTGCGTCCAAGGGCCTCACTGGCGAGTGCGGGTTGCGCAGCGGGATGGTGCACTGCGAGAACGTGAGCAGAGATGTGATGGACCAGCTGTACAAGCTCGCCTCCGTGAACCTTTGTAGCAATGTGCTCGGCCAGGCGCTGATGGCCAGCGTCGTGACGCCTCCGCCGCCTGGGGGTCCGTCCAGGGAGCGCTTCGAGAAGGAGAAGAGCGAGACTCGGGAAGCGCTGAAGCGAAAGGCGAAGATGGTGACGGACCGCTTAAACGCCATGGAGGGCATCACTTGCCAGGCCATCGAGGGCGCTATGTACGCATTTCCGAAGGTCGTTATCAAAGGCTATGTGATGAAGAAGGCGATCTCCTTCGCCACGCCGGCTGATCAGATCTACTGCGTGGAGATGCTGGAGCGTACGGGCGTGATTACCGTGCCGGGGAGCGGCTTCGGCCAGAGGCCCGGGTATTTCCATTTCCGCATGACGATCTTGCCGGACGAGGCCACGCTCGAGAAGGTGCTCGACGCCATTGAGCGCTTCCACGGCGAGCACCCCGGCGGGTGGTTCAAGTGATCCGTGGCCGCCGGCAGCGGCCCCCCGCCGCGCCGCCAGCTCATGGCGCAGCTGGAGCGGAGGGGAGGGAACGGAGTTGAGGAGGCGGAGGTCGGGGAAAGCGGATGGTCGTGGACGACGATCAATGGAGAGGGAGCATGTTGGCACATAATTCCCAGATGTTAGAGACATGTTTTAGATATTTTGTAAACCTGGTTCCGAACACGTTTAGAACATGTTCGGACATTTTACACACACTTTGTAAATTCAACGATCGGATTGTTAGGGTGCCCATTGTCATGGCATCCACAAGTGGATGGAGGGGAGTGCGGGCGGGAGAGGCATCGAAGTCGAGGGAAATCGAAGTCGAGGGAAGAAGGATGGGGGCCGCCCTGGCGCCTCGGCTCCGTGCCGAACCGGCTCTCGGCACTGGCGCTTCCTAGCCTCTGTCACTCTTGGGTGGCCCTGGCTCGGGCCGCGCAGGCTCGGCTGCAGCCGGAAAAAGGCCCGGTCGCCCCCAGGTCGCCCCGCATAGCGGAGCTCAGGAGGAGGAGAGGTCTACGGAGCCGCTGAAGACAGTCACAGCCTAACGCCGGGGAGGCAGGCCAGGAATGGACGGGATACGAACGCAGGGGAGGAGGATCAGGAGCGAAGTAATGATGCAGGTGCGCATGACTTCTCGTGGGTTTCGAGAGTATGCATTGAGCGAGCGTTCGTAACCCGAGGCTGGCTTCGCGGACGGGCGGGCTGCACTCATGGAACCACGTGGCTTCGCGCGTTTATGTCTTTCCTGTTTGTTCTCGGGGAAGTGGGGCAGGGGAGAGTGCCCGGCTCGGATGGGGCGGTGCCAGTCCACCGACACAGTTCCGGAGCTCCGAGGCGCATGTCCGAAGCATGGAGCCGTGCGCAGTGACAGAACTCGTTCCCAGCGCATCCTTCCCTTTGCGTCAGCCCTGCGCCCTCTCTGCCTCTCCCTTCCCCATCCTGGCCTCCACTCCCCTCTCAGTCCGCGTAAGCCGCTCGTGATGCGGCTTTCGGGACGCGCCGAATCGGCGGTTCCGCAAGTTCGCGGCATCGGCGAAGGAGGCTGGTGTCATAAAAACGCGCGGCCCTCTCTCCGACGCAAAGGAAGATGCTCTTTCACGAGGATGGAAAGACCACCAGAGGCGCCAGCGCAACGCAAGACCCCGCCATCCGATCTAACTACAGTAGTGAGATGTACACTTTCCAGTGCCGCACGTGGGGTATCGGCGCAGTCGAATTCTGCCGTTCCCGGCAGCAGCAGGATGTGGCTTTCAGTGCCCACGTCTGCCCGTAACACTCCCACAGCGATCAATCAGACGTTCCGTCGTGTTCGCCAGTTTTTACCCAAGCAGTGTTTGTACTTAGGGGTTTTTGTTTCTGTTCTGAGAAACTGGGCCGTGTCTTCGGTCTGGTAACATGTGGCTGCCATCGCCGCCCCATCGCCGCCTCATCGCCGCCCGTCGTCTGGGCCTGAATGTCGGTCTGGCAGCTATGTTGTCGCCGTCGCCGTTTCCGCGCCGTGTCCGCATAAATGGCACCACATATTTTGCGCCACATAGACTGCACAACACATTGCACCACCTCGATTCTCCTCTCTTAAGAGAGATTTGATTATACCCCTTTCCCCCCTGGACTTATCCGTTGTTGGTTTCGATTGCGAATTCATCTATGATCCTGACCCGTCGTCCATCCTACATATGAACTCAGACCATCCCAGCCAGGCTGGTATCGACCCCCCTCGCTATCCTCTGGAAAAGTACTTGCGCGCATTCCCGTTTATCCGAAATCATCATATTCCAAGAGTTCCTTGCAACAAGTGGGACGAAGTGCGCACGCGCGCCTCGTCGCGCGCACATGCCGAACTCCTTCAACAACTCTCGGTGTCTCAAGGGGGTTCAAAATCGAGTGTCACGAACACATGATCAAAAAAACAACACATAAGTTTGCAGCACGAATGTCCAACCAATGTTTGCGCCCGTTTTTTTTATTTTCTTGAACACTGGAAATACCATTGGTTTTTCATTTCACGCGCGCGTGTCGAAATCAAGACACACGGCTCACGCGCGCATCGTCGCGCGCGCATGTTCACATCATTGAACAGATTTGGTTTTGCTATGACTTCAACATCGAGTGCCCCGAAAACAGTTGTTGAAATGAAAAGTATGGTTTTCCAACATTTCCATCACATTCTGCCAAGCGGGCCCCTCGCGCCGCATTCCGAATTCATTCGAATGCCTTTGGGCGCGTGTTGGGGGTGGGGGCACGATCCGTGTCAAAGAATACCACGCGGGCCAATCGCGCGCGTCGGCCGCGCGGGCATGTCGAACTTAAAACCTCCCGTCTCCGACGCGGGGACGTCGTCATCGTTACCGGCGCGCGTGATCAACATCGGTGCCGTCATTGGCGCTGCCGTCGTCATCGTCACGTTCGTTACCATCGCTACTTTCATAGTCGTGTCTACCGTTGTCGGCATCGCCATGATACCACGCCCGCCCAAGTCGCCGACTTGCATTGAAGTGCCCGTTGGAAAGTGCCCAGTGGCCAGCGCCAGCCAGCGCCAAGTACTCATCGCAATCTCCGCCGCGTGGGTTTTGCAAACCAGCTGGCGGGTGGGTGGGTGGGGCGTTGGCAAGAACATGGGATTTGTCAGCTCGTCTTCAAGCAACAATTGCATCACATCGAATGTACCACATAGATTGCACCATCTATATCGCATAATTTAGATCGCGTCACATTTATGTCATCGAATACATCGCAACACGTAGACCACCGAACAGAGATTACACTAGAAATGTTGCACATCAAATATAGCATCACATAAATTGCACCACAGCGGCTGCACCAAATTGATTGCACCACGCACGTATACACATCCATTCATGTATGTATACATATATATATATACACATATACATTTACATACTTGGTTCACAGACACATATATATATAAATGTGCATGCGTGTGTGCGTGTGTGTGTGTGTGTGTGTGTGTGTGTGTGTGTTTCGCACAACGTTGATTACAATCCATTTTTTGAACCACGTAGACTCCCCATTCTAAAAAGAGAGTAGATTCTACCGCCCTCTCCCTCAGGATGATCGCCTCCCCTTTTCGTATTGCATTTTACATATGATGTTGCCCACTCGTCCATCCTAAAAGTGAACTCATACCACCCCATGGGAACGGGCACCGCCCCCCCCCGCCCGTCTCTCCAACAAATATTACGTGACGAAACACATCGTCAGTTGTCAAAGGTCTCATTGGAACAAATGAAACGAAGTGTACGCGCGCGCATCGTCGTGCGCGCATGCCACAATCAGTCGACAACCTTTGGTTTCGTAAGGATAAGAAACCGAGTGTCCCGACAACATATAAAAAAACGGGGCTCGCAACACGGATTGTCAAAACAAAACTAGCACGCGCCTTTGCGACTCTCCAAAGAAGCCATAAGTTGTTCCTTATGTTCAAAACAATCCTACCAAACAGGCTTCGCGCGCGCATGTCGAAATCGTTGGTGCGCCTTTTGCGCGCGTCCCGTCGCGAGAACGTTTTGCAAAAAAACGGAACTAAGTGCACGCTCGCACGTCGTTGCGCGCGTATGCCGAAATCCTTGGACAACCGTAGGTTTCGTGACGGTTGCGCAGCCGAGTGCCCAAAACACATATAATAACACATGGCTTCGCACCGCCAGTTTTCAGAAAAGCGTGCGCGCGCCCTTGCGAATTCTGAGGAAAAGAATCATAGTTTCCTCAGCGTGTTCATGGAAGCGTGCCACGGGGGCCTCTGGCGCCGCATGCCGAAAACATTCGCGCGCCCTTGCGCGCGTGCTAGTGCGGCACGATCCGTGTCCATTTATACCATGTGGGCCACTCGCGCGTCGGCGCCGCGCACGCAGTTCGAACTCGTTCCAAAACCTCCATCGCCGACGCGAAGACGCCGTCGTCGTCGCCGGCGCGATCTGCATCCGCGCCGTCACTGACCGCGCCGTCGTCGCTGTCAGCATCGTCGCCAGCATCGTCGCTATAACCGCTGAGTCTACCAATGCCGGCGTTGCCACGATACTGCGCCCGCCCAGGTCGCCGACTCACACTTAAGTTCCCGATTGGAAGTGCACGGCGGTCAGTGCCACTGCGGCTGCGTCGGTCGTGCCAAAGTAGCTGGCCGCTACGCGCGCGCATGCGCGGGCTGCCGCGGCCGCAGAGATGCGCCAGCCGGCGCCGAGCATTTCTCGCAATCGCCGCCGCATTGGGTTTGCAAACCAAGTTGCGGGTGGGCGGGTGGGATGGCTGCGCGCGCAGTGGAGTGGGCGAACTCAAGTCGAGCATTGATACGGTCTCTTCTTTGTAAAAATATCTGATTCTACCCCCGCCGCCGCCCCAGGATTACCGCGCCCCCTTGGGGTATTGAAATTTACAAATGATTATGCCTCCTTGTTCGTTTTCCATATGAACTCATACCATCTCAGCTAGTCCCGGCATCGCCCCCCCCCCCCCCCCCCCCCCCCTACCCCTGACAAATAGCGCCACGCGGTGCACATGCATTGATCTACGATGAGCTGAATGCACGAATCCCCGCGACATTTCCCACGCGGGTCACATGCGCGCGCGCAAGAAGAAATCGCCCCAAAACTTTGTGTGTGTTTTTTTTTTGTCGCTGCGATTTCTGCGGAGAAACAGCAGCTTACAAGCTTTTTCCAACAGCGAAGTTTTCAACGTGTCATCCCGCGCGCGCTTGCGGAGTCTTTGGGCAGCCAGCATTTTGTCATGCATCTTTCTTGTCCGAGGAGGCCTTCGCGCGCGCGCCGAGCTTATTCCAGTGCCCTCGCGCGCGTGCCAGAGGCGTGATCCCCGGCGAATAATGCCATGCGGGGCGCCGCCATCGCCATCGTTGCCGTCGGGGTCGCCGCGGCCATTATCATCGTCATTTGTCGACGCCGTCGCCCGCGCTGTCTCCCGCAAGATGGTCTCTGCCCGCGCGACGAGCGCCCGCGCGCCAATGG